CAAGTGTGGAATCCCTTGACTATTTACTACATTTGTGTATCTCCTCTCATGGGGAGAGAATCAGGAAAAACTAAAAGACTTTCTTCTGAACAGAAATACTGCAGTCTAATTCGTACAACCACAATTTACCTGATTATTTAAATCTTTGAGTAGAAAAATCTTTCTTCAAGCCCACCTTTCCATTTTTTTTTATGACATTCCACTATAGCTGCTTCAATGGTTCTTGACTTAATTTTCAAATACAGTACCTGCCATTCAAGCTGTCTTTCAAGCAAAACTTTTTCGAGCATGCAAAAATCTTATGAAAATTTGCAGATTCTCAGAAAATTTCATGAACCCTCTTTTGGTTCGCAGAAAATTTTTTGGAAATTTGTTGGTCCGCAAAAAATTTGGTCCGTGGAATCAAGAAGATTGGGGAACACTGGTATAGACTAGGAGGGTGTCTTCGAATTGTTGATACAGTACAATCAACGTGAAGATCAGAAAGCACTCTCAGCACAAACAACTTGAAGTTTATGGTGAACATGTTTCAAGATCATCAAGCTGTCCTATATGAGATTATGATTCTGCCGTCAAAATCTCGAAAAGAATGCTGAACTCACCATTAGAGCGCGAAACTCTCGCTTCTGAAGCCGCCTCGGGGCAATTAAGTGACGTCGTTGCGGATGTCATCAACTCGGGCTTTTCGCATTTCATCAGACCAAAGACACAAGTTGCCGTGATCATCAAAAGACAGCCGAGGAGAACAAAAGGTGTCGGGTAGCCTCCAAGCTGCGTCGACACAGGGCAGGACAGACACAATTTATCAAACTATTATATACACAAAAAGGTTGCTTTGATATAGATACTGTAGACTTGATCCTTCAAGTGCTAAATAACATCTCGGACGTGGACATGGGCCATAGTCGTTTTTGGTCGATACGGGCCACATAACACAGACACGAGCGTCCTTTTGCAGGCCGCGATAGACAGTGATTTTTGAAGTTTCAAATATAGAAAAAGTTTACAGACGATTTAAATTTTTGACCTTTAATTTCGTGCCATGATAAACTGAAAAGATTCAAGCCTTTCTGGGCCATTTAATAGTTATGTCCGAAACACCATAATTTCCTAAAATGTCCAAGAACAGAATGGCGAAGACTTCGTGCGGCTGAATCATTATACTATTTTTTCTTTTTTTTTTTAAATTAACTTGAAAGAAAAACTGAAACATCACAAACAAAGAAAAAATTATAAACAAAAACAGGAACACAAAAAAGCGTTCATCCGCTTGAATAAGTTGACACCAAGAGCTACAATTAAATGCTCCACAGCAACCTGGATTTATTTTTGAATATGATCACTCAAAAGGCATTCCTTATCAATAGCATCAGGGTCTGTTAATTGAAGCAGAACTACAGTAATGCATAAATGATGGCGCAGGTCAGCTTTCTGCAAAATCTCTGCCACACAAAGCGTACATTATTCAGGGTACCGAAGTACCCTACGTATACTCGAGTACCATGCACACATTGTCTTTTCAAATTTGAGAGGTGAAAAGGGGATGCGAGTCATAGGTGGGAATAAAATGTTCAAAAATGTTTCAAGTTTGGGTACAGCGTCACACTTGAATATAATAGAAAAATTTTAACACGAACTTCTATTACAACTCATAAAAATTAAAAATACATCGAATTCAAGTGAAATTCATGCTGAAATTTGACTTATAGTGTCTCCAGTTTTTTAAATTTTGTACTTTTTCAATCACTAAAAACGGGGATGAGCGCCTCTTACTTGGGGTTGCAAGGGATTTCATCAAAACTTCAAGGTGAAAAATTGGGCTGCCTGTCGTCATACTCAAGGGCGCGCGGTACTCGAATAAATACGGTAATATGAAGTACAGCAGCACAGTATCAGTATCACATTTGAGAAAAACGAGAGGGAATTCCCACCGAATATAATCCGCTCCCGATTCCAGGTCCGAGTCCGAGTCCGAGCCCAATCGCGATCTCAACGACGCCCTGCACGATGGTTCCAAAAAGAAAAAAAAAATGATGTAAAACACGCAAGGATTCGGAATGAAATTTTCCAGAAAAAAAAATGCAATTTGAGAAAATGAATTTCACCATTGCAGATCCGACGGAATTCGGATATAAAGTGGCGATGGTGGCGAAAACTGCAGTGTTGAACGAGCAAAACCCCGTGGCCTCGACGGTCCGCACAACGAAACACGCCACCGTGAACCAGTCCGCGCTCTGTATCCAGTTGAGCATCCTTCGCCGATTTATTTAAATTACGATTCACGAATGATCCTCTCAAATCACATTTATAATGATTGAAGATTATGGATAAATAAAACCTCACCCGAACAAGATATTCGCCAATCCACAGACCGCTGCTCCGAAGACCAGGAACGCATCAGGACCTTGCCTCGATATCTGAACCACGATGAAAAAACTACTTTCTATTTGCATCCTCGACTCACAAATTGTTATAGGAAAATGTATAGCTGAACTGTGTAGGCTCTTGAACGGAGTATCATGAATATTGTACATATCATTCAGAAGATGAAATGCAAGTAAAAATTTCTTCATATACTTACACCAACAAATTGATTACCTTTTTACATCAGAAAAGCGCTGATTTTTGACCCGATCTCGTGCTTTTTTGCTTTTTTCCAGTGATAAGATAATTACTTTATTCCGGCAAAGACTGTCCCTCTTCAAACCTTCATAGCCATATAATTTTCTGAGGGTCTTCGTCTGGCTGTTATTTTATTGACACGGGAAAGAGAATATAGCAATAAAAACATAAATTGGTGTGTTTTAAAAGGAAGTGAAAGACTGGGCAAATGAAGACTTGCCTCCAATTTACTTAAGAAGCAACTCCGTCTCAACTCATTCAAAAATCAATGCCAGGCCAAAAATATCACCATTACAATTTTCCGTAATCCTTTGACTTTCTTTTCCCCAACACAAAGGCTCTGTCCCTAACTCGAATTTTTTTGCTGGTCCCTTGAATTTCGACTCAAATGAGGTTCGACTAACCGACCGTACTGTATTTTTCCAGCATCAACAAGACACGGACATGTGTTTCATCGCGACCCATTTTCACATGAATTCAAATTGGTAAAAATTTGAAATCGAAACACGATATATATAGCAACTGAAACTCGCTCACCAGGTGACCATAAACCGGACATAAAACCAGCATCGTGAATGCGTAACAGCTGAAAACCAGGCCTGTAACTGTTTGCGAAACTCCTCTTCTTCTGGCCTGAAGATCCAGCACTCGAATTTCAGTCGAACAGATCAAAAGACGGGTGCATGGGGAGATTGTCCACAGAACTCAAATTCACTCACTTCCATGGGAAAAAAGGGTCCAATCACGGAATAGCAGCAGAAGCCGAAAAAGTCCATCGCTAGCATCCCTCCGAAGATCCATCGCTTCGCCCACAAGGTAGGCTGCATATCTTTTTCAAAATTTCAATTTCAAAGAAATATACAGTACTTCACGCATATATGCACTCATACAAGCACAAGCAAAACTTCCGTAGATGAGGGAAGGTGAGAGAGAAGCAACCACTGACGATCGTCAGTTCTCACTAACTTTGTCACCGCTGCTGCGTAGGAACTGAAGCAACCCAAAACCCACCGACAACGGAAGAATCAGGTCGAAATAATACCTGCTTTCCGAACACTCGATAATCCCCAGAAGCCATGCGGTTCAGGTTTCGAGGGTTTTCAAAGCAGCACTGGTTTTGGACAATGATTTCCCCATTCCCTGTGAAAATCACAAAACTGAAGGAAATTTATCTCTCGTCTGAAAATCCCTTCACCGTAACAGCAGAGGTATGGATAAAAAACGATCAATATTACATGACAATATGAGGTCATCAGTCAAACACAAAGATCGCAGACATTGAATGAAATCTTCTTCTTCCGCGTCTTGCATTTCAGATTTCAACAAAGGCGCTTTAAAATTATGTAAAATTGTAATTTTTTGAAACTTTAGTGGTTTAGAAATTTTTTTTCCCGATTATCCGCGTTAGAAACGAACAACCAGCCGCTGGCGTCAGGAGTTTATGAAACATGATACATTTTGCGAAAGGCTGATTGTTTAGTCTGTAAGAGAAATGATCGAAAGAGAGCAGGTATATCTTTCAGGAAAGCAAATTTATCTTTCTGCTGGGCACGACGAATGAGCTGATCTGGGATAGGAATTCTTTTAATCGTGCGAGAACTTTCATAAATGACCGCCTTAATCATATGGGGGCACGCGTATCGAAAACAAAACTTTAGAACAAACCCTACATCAGCCTTAAAAAAAAAAGCCCGACACAAATTTTCTCCTATGGAGGCTCTTTTCGTCTGATGCATGTGGTATTCACACCAATGTAACCAAAACTGCAAAACAATACAATGGGACGCAACAACAAAATTGTATTGAAAGAGATTCGCTCATTGAACGCACAGTTTGACTGCCAGGCATTATAATTCATTGGAAATCGCCTTACAAACAGATATGCATCAAATCAAAACTGCATTAGTGTTCCCCAACCTTTTTGGGCCCACAGACTGGCAAATTTACAAAAAGTTTCTGCGGACCAGCAAAGTTTCATAACATTTTTGCTGACTAAAAAAATTTTTGTTTGAAAAACTACATGGCAGTTATTTATTTTTTATTTGTTTGCAAAAATTAATTCAAGAACCAATGAAGCAGCTCAAGCTGAATGTCTTCAAAAGTTAGAAAGGTGGGCTTGAAGAAAGGTTTCTTTGAATGCAGAATGAGAAAAGAAATCCATTTCAGCAGGTGAAAATATGTGATATTGGAAGATTCAACTTATTTTCATCAGATATTCAACTGCCATTGTCTTTCCAAAATTTCAGATAAAGAGAACTGACTTCATTGCTACTTTTGATAAATTTATTATGCTAAGAAAATGTCCCACGGACCGGCAACAAATTTTTCGGACCGCTGGAAAACTGTGCTGGAGTCACAAAAAGGTTCATGTCTTTTTCAGAATGTGCTGACCATGCCTCAAAAATCGCATTCAAGAAATGTATGATGGTACAGTACGAAAGTTCATCGGCTCTCTTTCTTGTGCTGCATCTCAAGCATATTCCGCAGTGTCGCAGAAAGTCGTTGAAGGTGGATAATCCCTGACTCCAAGAAGAAACCCCGATCGTCGTTCCTTTCCAAAGAAAAGAGGCCTTTACTTCTCCATCACTCACCTGATCAAACCTTCAAAATTCTCCGCAAGACGTTACACCCCGTTACTCTTTCCGTTTCCGTTAAAACCGTACATCATCACTTCTTGTCTGCATGCATCCGCAATACGAATTAAGTGCGTGCTCGTGAATCACAATGTCAACGACACAACGGCCCCTGAATGGCGGCCAAAAATGATGCCGACATCGCACTCGTCAAATTCGAATTTCTCACCTTTGTCGCGGACAGGTGACTCATCTTCCGTCACTTCCATTGTCCGCCGGATCCGGAAACGAACGAGCAAACGACTGGACGCGGCATTGCGCAAGGTGGACGTGGCACTGAAGCCAGTCACCGTCCGGCGACGTAGACGCAGGCAATTGAGCGACGTAACTAAAGGATCGGTGGATCAGGACGACGAGTACACTGACGTCATCGCCGGAATTGATGCGGCCGTGGGAGAGATTGACGCTTCTGCTAGTGACGAGTGGGGAGCGAGGATACTGCCCTTGACTTCCGACGAGGCTCCTGTCATCAGTGCGAAGCTTAGGTAGCATCATCTACATCTGTTGTACATTTCTGTTGGATTTTGACTAATACAGTATTACAGTAAAGTCTAACTTCTCAGAGTCGAATTTCAAAGGGACCAGCAACAAAAATCGAGTTAGGGAGGTATAGAGTTGAAGAAACATAATTTTTTCTTGTGGGAATGGTAGAACAATTGATGGATATTGTAAATGGTGATATTCTGGGCTTTTATTGCTGTTTAAATGAGTTGACAGGATTCTTCACTTGGGGGCTGGGGTTCATTTGCCCAATTACTCGTACACTTCCTTTTAAAACACATTAATCTTGTATTCCTTTCCTCTTTCCTGTGTCAAGAAATTAATCGCCAAAAAAGGCCACAGAAAATCGAGTTAGAGGTTTGAAGATGTGAAGCCCTTATGCGAGTTCGAGAGGCTTTTACCGAATAATTTTAAGGGGGATTCAGAGTCGAGGAAGTCATTCAGTTGTTTTTTGTTCTAGCAAGAAGCTGGAAAAATACACAACAAAACCAATTCCACATCCCGGCCCCTCGCCCATTGCTACCTACGCTGGTGCACTGAGTTCCCAAACCTCAGCTTCCACTACTGCCGTAGCTTCCCAATTACGTAAAGCATCAGGAAATTTACTCGAAAACGCTTCTCATAAGAAGCCCATCAGCTCCAATCCACGTCCGAAAGGCGTACCGCTAGGAACACACAAGGCGAGCCCGACTAAACTCGTCGTGACACGAAGGAGAGACTACCCTTCGACCGGAAGTTTACTAAGATTCGCCAAACTCTTCCCTAAGTGGAAACAAGCTAGTTTGCTGAGCGCAGTTCCTGCAAGGAAATTCGCTAACCCTGTAAAACAAGGTGCTGTTCCAGCTGTCAAAACGAAAGAGGTCAAAAAGCCGGCCAAACAGCTGACTGAAGCTGAGCATCACAGCACGGCGAAGGAGTCCGTGTCTTCATCACGGTAAAGCTCAATTGAATCTGCAAAATTTTTTGAAGGTAAAATTGAAAATGTATGCAACGAACCCAAAATTACTCAAAATCGGTTTGTTCCGGAAGGTGTGAAATCTGCAAGGTGATTTTCAGCAATTCGGCTCTTGAGGGTTTATTATTCAGATTTGAAGTCGCATTATTTTCGGTTTAAGGCTAGGTCTGATTAGTCAAATTTCCCAGGCTTCATCCGAAGAAAGCTTCAATAAACAGGGAATTACCAAAAGCTCCAAAAGATAATTCAATGAGGCACTTGACGATTATTTTCCTTCTTCAGCACTGCCACCAGCATGTCAGCTCGTCAGAACTCAAAAACCGCGCCGTCCACCTCGAAAACGAACACAGCAGTACGTCGCCAAGCAGGGACAGAAGATCACGATTTGATCCCACAGCATCAGAGCATTTCGTCTGACTCTACATTCGGGATGTTCACTGACGAGTGCTTGACTTCCGAGGACGTCAAGGCCTGGCACGAGATGAAATTCCGACAATGGGCAGAACATGACGACAACACTTCCGGCATTATCGACGTCCCTGACGACATACAAGCCCTGCTGGACGAAGCCCCGGATTTCTCTCGGATCCGACATCTGCGCGGCGGAACATCCGACCAAAGAAAAGTGAAGATTAAGAAAACGTCTTACGATGACATGATCAAAGAGAATCTCATGAAAATCGCGGGAGGTCCTCCGCCTCCGTCAGTCCTCAAATTTGTATCCGGAATGCACCAGAATACCAGGTTTGAAGACGAGGAACAAGAACACGAGGCTTCTGAGGAAGAACCTCAATTAGAGTCTGCTGCGCCTGCCGAAAATCCAGACCAAGAGCAACCGAGAAGCTCTCGCAGCGTGTCGTTTGCACAGTCCTGTCCCCAGCTTTCAGACCAGGATACTCAAGAAGAAGCCGAAGATGAATCAGGAGATGCAAAGCGTGACAGCGATGAAAAAATAGAAACTGGAAACCCTGAAGAAAATTCGGCTTTAGCATCGGAAAGCAGCGTGAAAAGAGGAGAAGGAGGGGCAGGTGGAAGCTCCAACTCGAGGAGTTCTACGCCCGAATCATCAGGCAAACTTACACCAGCACCATCTTCTGTCAGAGGATCGAGCCAAGCTTCTCCAGCTGTGTCTTCTGTGAAAGGATCATCGTGCAAATCATCACCAGCTCCCTCATCGTCCAAGTGTGCTTCCAAAAAGCCTTCTAAACCATCCTGTCAACAATTACCACCACCCCCACCTAAACCATCTTGTCCAGCACAACCAAAGCCATCTTGCCCTCCACCCAAACCAAAATGTCCTCCACCTTGTCCTCCTCCAAAGCCGAAGTGTCCACCACCTAAGCCAGTGTGTCCGCCACCTTGTCCACCACCAAAGCCAGTGTGTCCACCACCTTGTCCACCACCAAAGCCAGTGTGTCCGCCACCTTGTCCACCACCAAAGCCAGTGTGCCCTCCACCATGTCCTCCTCCTCCAAAGCCAAAATGTCCACCGCCACCAAAATGTCCACCACCACCTAAATGCCCATCACCACCCAAGTGTCCATCACCTCCTCCTTGCCCTGAGCCTCCACCATGTCCACCTCCGCCCAAGTGTCCATCTCCTCCAAAATGTCCATCTCCACCACCATGTCCTTCCCCACCACCATGTCCTTCCCCACCACCTTGTCCATCTCCTCCTCCATGTTGCTGTCCACCACCTCCATGTCCTCCAAAACCTTGCCCATGTCCTCCTTGTCCGCCACCATGTCCATGTTCAGAGCCTGCCAGGGAGCCCACTGAAAGGGAGCTGAGGGCACTAAGGGCTTATAGAAGAGTGGTTGCTTTACTCAAACAAAAAGAGTCACTGAAGGTAAGACTTGCTACAATCATTTGAGAAATCCTCATTTCATATTTCTCTCACCATCAAAAACTGGATAATTGTTGGGCAAAGCACTGGCGGTAATTTTTTTTATTTGGAAAGAATTTTATAAATCCAAAAAATCCTTCACACCCATGCATTTAGAGCTTGCCCGTCAAATCTCGAAGCATTCCTGTCACATTTCCCAAGAAAAATTTGCCATCGAATTTTAAACGGGTTTTCACATTTTGTTATTTGTTTTTCCCCTTTTTTCTATTCTTTACTTCTCTTGTTCTGCCGTCTAAAATTTGTAAATAAGTGCCAGTCCCTATTAAATCCATAAAATTCCGCAGGAGAAAAGTTCAACACAGCATTTTTATAAAACATCAAGGGTGTTTCCTACAGAATACAGGTGGACAGACTCTAAAAATCTTGGCTACAACAATTTTCTCTGTACGACGATCATTTTTGTTCCACAGGGTTAACTCTCTAACTTATTGCGATTTTTCTACAACGAAATTCGCTCTACAACGAATTTTTTTGTTCCCTTGAGTTTCATTGCGGAGTCCACCGCTGCACTTGTATATCGTTGAAGTGCCCGATTTCCGTTGAATACGATGTGGAAAATTGAATAAGTGCGTGAAAATCCGACGATCAAACTTCGCAAATTATACCTACAGAAACTGTGCCTTAAAAGCTCTAAAAATCTGAATTTAGGGGCATGCAAAACTGAAATACATAGCTTTCGAAGGCTTTGTTCGAGTTCTGCCCAATTCCATTCGTTTCCACAGACGTGCAACACAACAATCTCGGAAGACATCACTGAGTTGATTTGGTACGCTGAAGCCGAAAACGTCAAGGATCTCTTGTCCATTCGAGCAAGATCCAAGCTGAGATCAGCATTTCCAGGGACAGCTCCAGAATGTGTCAGGGAAGGAGGGAACATGGAATTCCTTAAACTAAAAACAGTAAGCTACATGAAAAATGTATTTTTGGAACCAATGCTGAGGAAGATTATTCCAATAAAGGTACTTAACCTGTGGGCGATCGACTTGATCAACGAAGAAATCGAAATAAAGAAGGGTGACAAAGCTGGACTTATACTCGCCATTGACAGATCGGAACGACGTTTGACAACATTGAAGGATGCGGTAATAATCCTGGAGAATTTTTGAAGCTTCGGGGATGTCTTCCACGTTAAATTATTGGTTCTGGTTCCATAGGTTCCGGACTTGTACCAAGCTTATTCCTTGCTGAAAGATGTCAGCAACTCTGAACGAAGTCTCAGAGAACTTCGCACATTCTTCGACCGATTTGAAGATCACGTTCCGCGCATCAGAGTTCTTGTGAGACACACACACAGATGAATCGAACCACACTTCTATCATTTGATCTACAATAATCCCTTTTCGTTTGAATTCAAGGGAGAACGACTGATGTGCTCGTGGATGGACAAGAAGAGACTGCAGCTCGCCATTGACGAGCTGAAGGACTACCTCAGGGCCGTGTCCGCCGCCGGATTCGACAACGCCAGCACTCAACTCTTCGAACAGATGAATCCGAATCTGTGTCGCACACGCCTCTTGAGAATGTTCTACGACGACTCCCGGTGTCCTTCAAACAAGGATCCCGCAATTCAGGAGAACAGTGAAGACGGACTGGAACCCGCCTTCTACAATGGACGAGTCGTGGAAAACGAATGGCTGAGAGCTGGGGGAGCGTCTCCTGAAATGGACTGGTTCGCTGCTGGGGACAGGTTCTTTTTTTTTTTATCCCTTCACAACTTTTCACAAATTTAATAAACGCAGTTCGATCACGAATTTTTCTTTTCCAATTTGTAAAGAATCGATAGCGAACAGTAGACATTCTTGAGAATCCACGGATATTTTTCTTCACCTGGAAGCGCACGGAACTTGGATAGGAAAGTTTTGAAAAATTAATCTTTTGATGTTCTAGAATTTTTCCAGCTAGCTATCGATTTATTTTGTAAAAATCGTATAACAGAAATCCTCTCATTCAAATTTTAGATGAATTTTGAAGTCATTTGAAATTTTCGCCTGGCTCGCAGCTTCCAAATCATATTTAGACATTAAAACTACTGTATCTCTCGAGCGTATCCTGAAATGGATTGGTTACTTTTTTATCCCTCCACAAATTTCTCCTGTTGAATCTATGAAGTTCTTTCAAGAATTATAGCTTTCCCATTTGCAAAAATGAATAGACGGCAAACTGGAGAAATTCAAAAGCCAAAAATAATTTTTTTTTGCTGGAAGCGTGCGAAACTAAGATATTCAAGTTTTTCTAATTTTCCCGCTCGAAGTTACGATACATTTTCAAGTCATTTGCAATTTTCGACGGGCTGGCAGCTTCATCACGAACTATGCGGTGAATATCTCGCGGTCTATTTCAGGTGCTGTCAACTAAACCTCAAATTTCACACAATATTAGCGAAGTATCGGAGATAAAATGAATTTCATAATTTCATTCAGCATTATCAAGATGTAATCGTTTAAAAATTAAATTTCCTGTCTCTCACTTTGAGAAAGATTCCCACTGAATCCACACACAAGAATGAGACTGTTACGATGTCGAACGAATTCATGAGGGAATCTCCAGTTTCAGCTCGATTTAAGTCCGCTTATCGATTTCACAATCATTAATTCTCAACTTTATTCTTGAGACATGCAATCCTTTTTAATTTTTTCAGAAAATGGAACAAACTATTCGGAGGAGGGCCGAATCCATTCGAGGATCCCGTACATAAGTCATCACGACTTGATCCTTGCGAAAAGTTCATGACCTACCGTCCACCTGCACAAGCTAAGATGGCTGCGGATCGGTTCCTGCTGAACTTTCAAAGGTTCAGAAAGCTTATTGATGCGTCACTACGTTTTCAAATCGGCATCTTTTTTTCTATCCCAGGTCTTCAGGCACCATGAATTACCAAGCAACAATTCTGATGGAGTCGATCAATGCTCTCATCGGACTTCTTCGGACGATCGATCCACGACCAAGATCTTTCCGGCAGCAGTTCAGCGGCACGAAGTTGTTTTCAAGTTAGCCTGCCAGCTAACGGATCATGCATAGAAGCTCCTCGAATTCAGATTATTCCTTGTTAATGTCCTTATTGTTATCTTCCGGTTATTTTTAATGAAATACTGATATTATTTAAAGTTAGTACGATCAAGTATTTCCATTCGAAATTCATGCGGTACACGCCGAAAAAAATGACAATTTTTGGAAGATGAAGATAACTCGCATTTTATGATCTTGACAAGCTTTTTGTTTTTCAACAATAGATATTCCCGCGATCACCAGAAGCGGAACCCACGGATATTGTTGTTCTGGGCCAAGGACCGTCTTCACCCAAAAAGGATTTCCTCACAGATCGACTCAACTCGTTGAATGTTCCTCTATCGAAATCTTGTTCTTCCGCGTATACGCAAAAAATTTGCCCGCGAGAGCGCATCACCACGGACATTTGGAATGCTGTAAATGAAACACAGTATTTTTACACATTTTGGAAGATCAAGCGAAAATCATCGAACATGAACAAATTGACTTCGTGATAAATTCACGGGAATGGATGAGTGGATATATTTTGGAGAAACAGAAATGCGGGAGATAAACGGGAAATTTAAGAAACCTTAGTGAAGAAAGTTGTTCAGCTTCACCTAACTCAATCCAAGAATTATGAAGGAAAAGCTGAGCTACACAGAAAAATCTGCGAGATGCGCGCCTCTTTTTATGAGTGAAAAGCAGAAGTCTGCTAAGGTGATTTTTTCAATACAAAATTTTTCTACGAAGAGTAAGTAGAACAAAGGGATGATTTGTTTTCCTTGTGCCAAAGAATGTTTTTTTTTTCTGAACAATAATTATGTTCAGCTCAATCACACGCCATTTCAATTTTTGTCACGACTTTTCTTGAACCCCTCGTGCGAAGGGCAGCTTCATTGTGCAACTGGATTCGTCAAGTGAGGGATGTTTCCGTTGCCCCGAACTCATTTTGAGAAGGGTCTAGCAGAGAAGTGCTGCGAAGTCTTTTTTTGCGGGATCACAATATTTCCGCAAGCAAGCATCCGAGAATTCAATGGTCTCACCTGCAGCGCAAAGTCCAGTTATGTAATTAGGCACTTCCAAAAGCGGAACTCCATTCGGCGATGGTCCATTGACACTCAAGCAGCGAATCAAGAAGCTCCGATCTTCATTTCGTTCGCCGGATGCGTGATCCACCACTGGACGCGACACGAGGCCAATGAAGCGTTTCTTGCTTCCAATTTTATCATAAAGCTGCATTGAAAAAAGGGGAAGAAAACTGATACAGGTAAACTCCCTACGACGAAATTCAAGGACCAGAAGAATAATCGTTGCAGAGAACCCATATACTGTAGCATGTGAAGAACCCTATGGGACCAAAAATAATTCGTTATAACGTAAAGAGAAAATCGTTTTAGACAAGATCCTTGTTGAGAGAGCCCACCTGTATATAGGCAGATTCAGGCGTTACTAGATTCAAACGAAAGTTAAATATGTGATTTGATTTCAGATTATCAAAGTTTTTTCGAATGAAATCAAGACAATCACAAGAATTCGAAAAAAAAATACTACCGTATCACCCCAACAAATACTTCGGAGGCCTGGAAAAGGGAAACGGAACTATTCACTTTTTCAGGGCAACTTCCAGGGTGAATAATGGAAAAGTTATTCAACAAAGGTCATAGAATCATTCCTCTGATGATTTCCCGATCTCCAAAAATAGGGAAAAATGAAAACAGTTTCTCTACCTGATTTAGAACGTCATTGCACACTTCGGGGGTCAAAAACCGAGTAACACAGCACACCAACAATTGCGACGTGGGTCTATGAATATTCAGAAGGACCCGCTTCAATTGATGCGTTTCAGTAGCTTCCGAAATTTGGACTCTTCCACATTGCTCGACATTCTTTTCTTTGAGGTACCCCGAAATAAAATCTGCGACAAAAGAAACCTCTTCAGTTGAAAAAAATTAGTGCAAAACAATTGCGGATTCTTACCAACGACGAGATCCCCTTCAGCAATCAAGACCGTGGCATCATCATCAAGCTCCAGCGCACATTTGATTTCGAGGGATACACTTCTGCGGGATATTGACACAGGCTTGTAAATCTAAGCAATAAAATTATTCGAAATAAAGTTTCTCTCACCGTTTGTCGACCTCGAAGTACGACCCATCTTCATCTCCGTCCCAGAATGCTCGCGAAACTGGAAAATTCACCTCGCCGAAGGGATCATCAGGATGCATGATTCTTATCTGGCAAAAATTAGCTAAATCGGTTTGAAACGAGGACAAAGTCATCTTTAAAAATGTCGACAGACTCAACGAAGCAATTTCCGGGGTATTCTTTGCATTTCATTCACCGATTAACAAAATCTAACGAATTTTCTTTCAGAATAGTTCACAATTTGAGGTGCGAAAAATGTTTTTCTCGGAACCATGAATGCAAACCCTCACCCTTGAAATGCCAAAAGGATGCTCGCTTGATAAAAATGAGTGAAAACCTATTTTCGCCGTGAGTTCATATAACGCCCAAATAAATCACAAATACAACGTAAGGTACTGTGCTGTGCTTCAGCATCTCATGCCTTTGTTGGTGGATGAACGATCTCGTAAAAAACCACGAAAAGATCGCTTCAATTAAAACATTGTGAATATTAAACTTCCAACTTTAAAATATTAACATACCGAGGCTGCCCCGTGGGCATTTAATGTAGAATGCGAAGACACTAGTGAACAGAGAAAAAACGATCGGTTCATCAAAACAGGTACAATTCGATGTAAAAAGCAAAATGAAAGTTGAATGGGGGAAAATGCGCACCTTTATAACTTGGAAACGGACGCATCACTTGGGAATTTGAGACCTTGCCCAAAATATCTGCATTATTCATTAATGTCCACCATCCGAAAGCTGAAGATTTTTGACCTGATCACCAAATCTTTTCGAAATGTTTCCTACGTTTAATTTCCTACCTTTGAATCACAGCATTACTAGATGGCAGCTGGCAAATGCAGTCAAATTTTAGCCCTGTGACCATTAATTGAGTGATTGAAAAATACCGAATTCTGGGAAGCCCCAGTAATTCCTTCTTAATTGCCTACACTAACAGTACCATTCAATAGAGGCAGTTTTTGGACCAAATGAATTTGATTTTCCAGGGTAATTCGATTCGCAATTACACCCGAAAAATTAATCCTTCGAGGAGGCGGCATTTATCCCATGAATGAGGTCAACTATGAGGAACTCCTTCTCAGAAAGACCGGAACACTTAAAATTGGCGGATACGAAATCATGGACGTTGGGAGAAATTCTGAATAAGACAGAAAAATTGTACAACTGAGGAATCGCACATCTCGCACGATCATTCACAACATAAAAGTGCTCAGAACAGCTGTGTTCCAAAGGATTTTTTAAACGCGACCAAAGCTTCTGGCGCTCTAACGCGCAAATATGGACTGCGTCGACGATCATCCGCATTTTTGTCAACAACCACAGCGATTTGCAAAACGCGAGAAATTTGTCGCGGACAATAATCTACGGCTTTATGAATTGCAATCATATCTTCCGAAGCCATCGGAATCGTTCCCACTTTCGCTAGGATTCCTAGCAACCGAACCAGCACTTGAAGAATCATTCGCGCCAAACGAATCGTCGAAGTCCGACAACCCGAAGCTATTCATCTCCTGTCGACGACGTCTGGTGAGGATCCCATTGGTCATGGTTCCACTCGTGCGGCGTTTCTTCTTGATCGGACAAGACTTCGTCGATTCTGGGGTCGGGGATCGTACATCGACAACTGCAAGGAGAAAAAAGAAGCACGTGAGTAGAGTATTATCCAAAGCGATGAAAATATTGCAAAAAGGATAACTCGAAAGATGAACATGCGCCATCACCAGCTTCTGTTTTATGTAGTAGAGCCAGTTTCGGATCATGGACTGCACGAAAAGTGACTGCCCTTGAAATAAATTGGAATCACCGGGGCAAATACGGCTGTCAACATCATATTAAAATTGGATATATGCCTTTTTGATAATCATTACATAGAAACAATTACAAGCATGCTGTATCCAGTATCTTGAAATCAGTTGTGTACCATGAGGAGGAAGTTCACTTCAACCAAAAACCATGATTTTTGTCCTGTTTTCTACTTAAAGCCTCCAATGCCCATTTTTTGAATGCGAAATCCCAAATAATTTTCCTGGTTCGCCTCGTACATCATAAAATCAAATAAAATCTTTTTGATAACCACTATACAGATCAAATTACAGGCATTCTACATGCAGTATCTTGAAAATTACTTTTGTATTATGAGCAGACATTTTACTTCGATCAGAACAAAAGGTTTTTTTTCATCTTTTTTATTAAAAACCCCGAATGCTCGCTTTTTGTGAAGAAACCCAGGATCTTTTTCCTGGTTCCCCTCGTAAAAAATAAAATTAAATATGACGGGACTTCCGAGTTTTTCAAATAATACTAAGAGCGTCGACAGAAAATTCTAGGACCATTTTCCTGGTTCCCCTCGTACACAAAAAAAAAGATATCGTAATTTTTTTTTATTAGTACGATAGAGAGGGCGTCAAAAAATTGTACATGCATTTGAAACCGCGATGAAGAATCGGAAGTTTAACATTATTTTTACTGAGGCGAAAAGCATTCAGAGGAACACTTAGAGAAAGGCTCTTGCAACGCGTATCTCACCAGGATCTTCGTCCAGGTCCTTATCGAACGGATAGCTGAAGATTAGCGGAGGTCCTCCAAACGTTTCCTCTGTGAAATCATCCGGATCCGAAATCTTTTCTTCAGACCGATTCCACCGTTTCCGGCTGCTGTTCGGATCGAACACGATAGCCATTCCCGAAATGTCGCACTCCAACTTGACGACGCGGGAGGGATTGAAATGACATGGAATGTGCTTTGAAATCTGACGGAAAACAAAGAAAAGTGTCATGCATTACGTGAATAAAAAACTAGGCACACAATAGGTTTTTCTTACTTCAGCTCGGAGTCCAACAAAATCACAATGTGGACAGCCCTCTCTGCCGTTTGTGAACGGAGAATCATCCGAGTGATGCGTTAAATGCTCTTCAATCTTCTCTTCTGTTCTGAAGCTTTCAGGGCAGAAGGGACAATACAGCAATTTTTCCCCCGAGAACGTACCTTTCTTGCCGAACTGCAAAAGATTGTTTCGATTACAAAGTGAAACTTTGAATGAAAACTCGACGTTACCTCACTCATGTAAATATTTTTGACCAAAGTCAAAGGGTCATTCACCAACACTGCTTGACTTTCATCCAAACTTTCTGACTCTTCTTCCGATGGATCTTTTGCCAACATCTCGTCAACAACACTTGAACCTGGTTCCATGACGGATTCTTCTAAAATGCTTCCTTCGTTTGACTGTAATCCTTCGTCCATCGAAGACTCCTCCTTTTCCCGCTCATTTTTCTCAGATTCTAATCTCTCATGCACCATCTTATGCTTCTTCATAGTTTTAGGGGCGTTCGTGGAGAAATTACATAGTTTGCACGAAAATCTGTAATACAAAGTAGAGTTTATTGAAGAGTAAAAGCGCAATCCGTCGTTCACAAGTTTATCTGTCACCAAGAAAATAAAAAGAATCAACTAAAAGAAGTTTGAAGTGACACTGACCTGTTGCCAGCACCATGTGATGTCATGTGGTGCTCCAGCTTGGGGCCTGAATCGAAGGTATCACGGCAAATAACACATTCGAAATGTGTTATAGAAGATTTCGGCGGATTTTCAGACTGAATGCCAACTGATGCGTCCGCATCTTGAACATCTTCCTCTTCCTCTTCGTCCACGTCGATTGCTGGCAGCACTGAGTCTCGACTGGACTTGATGCGCCTAACATCGTTATGCTGACGCAGATGCCTACATAAAAAAAAATTCCCAAGGGCGTAAACGTCAAAACGTTTCTAAAATTTCATAGATTTCATAGTTCACAAATTTTCACACGATTTTCATATTTTACCATCGCAAGAACGCTTTTCCGTGAATGAAAAAAGCTTAGAGTAGTAAAATGTTTCTTCAAAACTCGTAAAATAATCCGGAAAAATGCACAAAATGACGATTCGTACAATAACTTCGCAATAAATTAGACGTAAATTTCTGACAACCATAAACATAACTTACTACAATAGCTTGCAACAAACATTACTATCACAACAAATTTTTCGGTATAAAAAAAAACTTTTTCTGAACTCCCGGCAGAAAGGCCATAGAGAACAAATTACTGTGTAACAATCTCATCATAACAAACTTCCATACTCCAGTACAAAAAACTTGTTCGAGGAATGTTGAATAGATATTTCGGGTAGAAATTTCCTGACTAAGGCACGTAGTCTGAAATTTACAATCACCAAGATGACTGACTGGTTCTTGTATCATGAATGGACGCTATATTTGATGATGAACATGCTTCCAAGTGGTTCCAAATACCATCCTCCCAGAATGAAGAAATTTTTGCAACTAATGGAATGTATGATTCAAGGGTATTTATTTTTCAAAGGATTACTCAGTTTTTCAAACAACAATGCAAAATCTGAGAGTTCCAGAAAAGCTAGATCTAATTCATCATCGGCAGGACTGATGTGAAAAATGTTTGCCATCATTAATTTGGATAATATCATTACAACGAAGTATTCAGGGCAACAAGCTTTTTCTGAAGTCCTCAACAGTTTTTTGTGATGAGATTTTTACTGTACTTTCAGAAGCAGATACTCACGCCGTCAAGTGTTTCTTATTCACGCACGACCAATTGCAGTAAGTACACTTCAAAGGGTGTCCAACCCCATGATACTTCATGTGCTTCAAGATCCGCTCCTCGCGATAAAAAGTAGCGGGACACGAGTTGCAAGCGAAGTAAATCACCGTTTTCTTCGAAGACGAAAGCACATGACGTTTTGTGGCATAGCCAGTATCTTCTGAGTGTTCTGATGAAGCATTTACCGTCACTTTCTCCTAAATTTGGCGAAAAAACATAAATGGGTGCCATATCCGAAAAAGTCGAATCAGCATATGGTATCACATTTACTCGTAAGCTGTACAACCAAAATAAGAGCTGCAAAACATATCTCACATTCACGGTGTTCACCGGCGACGACGTCTGACTGGTTTCCGCTACTTTTCTGGCATGCTGTGCTGCATGTCTGCAAAACAATTCCTTTTATTTTTCATGCTGCCAATGTAAAATAAATATGAGCAAACGCCAAGAGCTGGAAACTCTTTCATTTGACCGAAATTTAGACTGAAAGGAATCAAAATTTAAGAAAAACATAGGATTTCAATATTTTTTTCAGATTACAGCTTCAAACGCTCAGCTGTACACGTTTTCAATACACATTACCGGTGCATTACACCTTGAAATGCCAGGCATCAGTGAACTAGTTAAACTCAGACCTGAAACACTTATTTTTCTAACCTTCCAAGACGAACACGGGAGAGATACAATCAATTTCGTTGGAGCTCCTTATTTGGAAGAAAAAAAAAAAAACATTGATCGTAACGAAATTTCGATTGAATTTACTCAAAAATTGAGAGATAAAAGGATTTTAACAATTTTTTCCGATTACAGCTCCAACCACTAAGCTACACATTTTCAACTCAGTATACAGTATTTGAATTTTACGATATGTAACCTTGCCGGCTCATTATACCTTGAAATAACAGACATCAATCAACTGATTAGAGCTACAATTTGAAAACATTTTCTCTAACCTTCCCAGAAAGACACGGGAGGAAACCATCGAAATTCGTCAGAAGTCCTTCAATAGAGGGACACATATTAAAACAAATAAGTCTTTTATCGTACCTCTTGCTGTCAACTCTGCTGAAGGTAACAAATGAACACAGCTTGCAGTTGAACAACGATATTTCAGAATGATTCAACTTCTTATGATCCAACAGGTCCTCCTCCCTTGTAAACCCAGCAGTACACATGGTACACTTGTGTAGAGGTGCAAAATTCGTAGTTTCTCGAGAAACCAAAATCCCTGCGTTGGTAAGATTCTGTACGACCAGCTGATTTTGAGATTCTTTTGATACATTCGACGTTCCATCCAGCTTTCCAGAACTGTAAGGAGAACATGTACGCTTATGTCAAGTACATAATCGAAGGAAATAAATTCTTTCAGGAGAACTTCTCATTTGGTTTTCGTAAAAATTGTTTCAAAAACATTTCCTACGTAGTACTCGATTCTCACCAACTCTTATGACATAAAAGAAACCCGGACGAACTACAACTTCAGGAAGAGATTCAAAAACATTTCGCAGTTGGCAAAATCTTGCTTTATACTAAGTAATTGTATCGCTTCAGTGGGTACGGCAAGCATAAATTCGTCAACATTCCAACATTAAATTGTTTATTTTCTTTAAGTAAAGCCAATTTAACTACAATACCCTACCCTACACTCAGGTTTTCAAAGCAAGATTGCGACAATTAAACGGCATTACCTTCCCAAATCAGGACAGACTTTCTGCTTCTCCGCGAACATCTCTCTGAAACAATTTCCAGAATCAACATCACAAAAAAGAAAAGAAAAATCTCATGCAATGACCTACTTTGAATATTCTCCACTCTCCTTATGATTTCTCAAGTGGGCGTGCAAAGCTTCATACGAATCCTGGACATCGTTGCAAATCCCACAAAACGCAGGATACGTCTGATTCGGATCAATTTCAAACTCTTTCACATACGCTGCAGGATCGGAAGTGTTGGATTATTCAATGCTTCAGAGCAATTTAATATTATTCCTTTCTCACGTTGTGGATCTACTTCCCCAACCGGAACTGTTCTCAAAGGGAGTGAAATCGGTCCACCGGCATGTTTCAACTGTACGGCAGATAGTTGCTCCGTCTGCGATCTGGCTGACTGATAGGAGAGCGACAGCAAACAATATCATAGATTAATTGCAATAACCACTCAAATGGTGGGTTCCACACGGGTTAACCTACACAATTTTCCACTAAACCTTTGACTTTTTGAAACACAAATCTAGAATGAAGTCAATGTCGAGAATTCCTAGCTAGCTTCACAGTACAAATAAAAAAATCTCTCATTCAGAAAATTAAACCAATATACAGTACTGTAGTTCTCCAGTATTTGCACAAAAAACAATTCTTTAAACTTCATATAACGGTCAAACCTCCAAGGGGCCAGCAAAAATTCGAGTTAGCAAAAGGAACATTTTTGTTGAGGGGAAGAAGAAAAATTACAGGAAATTCTGAATTGCGTGACAATCTGAATTTTAACTTTCTTTTTGAATGAGGAAACAGGATGCTGAAAATCTGGGCAAGGGTTTGTTTGCCCAATTAAAGGTTCACTTCCTTCCAAAGCACATCAAGTTACACTTACACTGCACTTATATTTTCTGCGTTAATCAAATAATAATAGTCAAAAGGCCTTCAGAAAATTAAAGTAACTTAGCATGTGACTTTTGATGGAGAAAGTCCTTGAGATAGGAAGGTTTTTAATGCCTTGATTGTAAGGAAATTCAGAGACGGAGTTCGAGAAAAAAAATCGACAAAGAGGTATATTCGACTTAAAGCGGTTTGACTAATCGAGGTCAAACTGGAACAGGGAAGAACTTACTGTGATTGAACCAGCAGATGATTTCACACTCATTCCAAAAGAGTTCATGGGAACAGAGCTGCGATGTGTTTCCTCGACGTGTTTCTGCAGAGCTTGCACACTACTGAAACTAAATAAAAAATATCAAGGATAAGTTATATAGTAATTATTTTTTTCGGTGCGACAGATCAATTGAGTTTGAATTCAATCCACAGATCCAACTGACCCGTCAGTGTTGCAACCCGGACATTTGACCAACTTGACGATTTCCGACTGCACGAACACAGGCGTTGATCCACGAGACCTCGGCTCCATTGCTGCACTCCTTTCATGGAAGTGGAATCCATTTGAAAGCGCTAAATTACACGTTTTCGGTGGAGGATTAGAACACTTGCACATCCTTATGTCCATCTGGAATGACAAAAAGGGAGAAAATCATGAAATCTACAAGAACTGATGAATTTAATGAAATTCATCCTTCCAAGGGATCGATGTAACAATAATACTTACATCTCTATCTCAATCATCTCAACGCTGAACATTAAACTTCGTGCAAAAACTTCCCTTCTAATGTCTACGATGTCAAATCGTAGAACTAAAAAACTCCATTTGAAAAAGAATCCTCTTCGAAGGTGATTCCATTGATTTAAACTTTTAAAGTAATGGATTACTTGCCGAATCTAACTAGTGATGAATACTCTGAAATGCGACGAACATTCTAAATCTTTGACAGAACTCGTTCAAAAAATCAGTAAACTAGAAGAGATACTTACTAAACAATATTTTTCCTCCCAGAAAACAAGGCACAACCAAAAAATCTCCTTCATGGACGTTATACTCTATTAAACTAAAAACATAATACAGGATTATTAGATCATGAAAAAAAATCAAGATTTACTTTCATATTCCAGATCATTTCGGATGATACATTATTTAATTCATGAGTATCAATGAAGACACAGGAATCCAAAAACCCCTTTTCAAAGGGAAGAAGTGTTCCAAATTATGATTTGTATGCATAATTTTGACTTAACTTACAACCTTCCAGGATTTACACGTCCCACTAGACTAAAATAGGTTTAGAATACGCAGCAACGATGCTTTCAAAACGTAATCACAAAAACTGTTTCAACAATGAGCCTTCAAATAACGTCACTAAACATGTTCTGTACATAAAACACTCCATGATGTTCGATATTGTACTTACGAAATAACCTTCTTCGTTGTCCGATGCCACAGCCACATTCAGGTTCATTAATTCCTCCTCAGGAAGCAGAATTTCCCTCCGGTTATTGTTAAACTGCTTCCAAGCCACGTTAGATAACTTGTAACCTTTCTCTGCCACGGTTCCGATTGGATGAGTGACACGTTGAATGTGTGACTGAACATCTTTCACGTTCATCGCCACGAAGGGACACCTGCTACACTTCCATGGCCACTCAGAATCCGAGTGAGAACAATAGTGGACAGCAAAATGCTGGTAACTTGTGGACCAATAAGAGCAATGGTCACAACAAGATACCTCCTTGAACTTCCTTCTCTTGCCGGCCACATCCTGAATCAAGATCGAAAAATCATGAAAAATTTACTACAGTACTTTTGGGAACAATGATACAATTTTTGATTTGATTATATGCGAGCTCAATAAGCAATACAAAATTTCAATAATTGGCACAGAATTGGAAAATGTCACTTGAATGTAAAACAAAATCATCGAAGTACAGCAAATAAATTCTAATCTTTGCAAATTTATATTCAGCTATAATATAGGGAGAGGCCCATCCATATTAAAGAGGTTCTCTAAAAAAAATCTCATCAAGATTTATTCTGGTCCCCTGAATTTTCATGTATAGACCAGCATTCCACAACCCATGGTCCACAGACCAGCATTTTTTGAGTCTGCAGAAGTTTTTTGCCAGTCTGTTGGAAAATTTCCTCAGCACAATCAATCAAAAGAAGCAATGAAGTCTGATATTTTCATCTGAAATTTCAGGAAGATAATTGCAGTTTGAACTATATGATGGGATATAAAAGTTGGCTTTTCTCCTAATACTTCAGACTAATTTTCACCTGCTGAAATAAATTATTTTAATTTGTATTCCAAGAAACATTTCCTCAAGCAGACGTTTCTAATTTTTAAAAGAAATTCCACTGTACTGTGGCTGCTTCATTGGTTCTTGGCTTCATTTTTTTTAATAAAGCAAAAACTTTTTAAATACCTCCCATGAAGTCTTACAAGCAAAACATTTTTGAGTCTGCAAAAATATTATGAAACTTTGCCAGTGACCAGAGATTTTTTTGAAATGTCCCAGTCCACAAAAAAAATTCTGGTCTGTGGGCCAAAAAAAAAGTTAGGGGAACACTGGTACAAACTATGTATGAAGTGTCCACCTGTACAGTAGTAGAGCAACCAGGGGATGCATATTTTCAGTAACATCCTTACGACTTATGCCAGGGTAGGGACTTCTGTCGGCTGGCACAAGCCAAACTATCACATGTAGTAGGGGGTTTTCTCAACTTTCCAAACTGCTGTACATATCCCACAAACTAACCCATTCTTCAGATTTCATTGAAAAATAAATAAAAAGTTAACCATGGGATACTTGTGTAGCACACAAGCATCCACATCTTTGAGGTTGTTGAGAAAAAAATGTATTCAGGATAACCCCTTGCTCAACCTAAAATAATTGATCAACAAGGGGAAGAATGTTCTGGGTTTGAGGAAATGATTGCTTTGGAGGGAGGTAGTCTTGTTGAATGGTGCCAGCCAAACAGTCACATATGGCTGAGGTTCTCCCGAATTTTTAAAATTTTATTTCAGGCCTGGAGCCCAGAGCAACCAAAAATTTTGCCTACCCCGGGCTCTGCTCTGCTCCGGCTAAATTTGCGCTGCTCCGGACTCCAAGCTCTGGCTCCGAATCCCTGAATACGTGAATGAATACTTTTCTTTAATTACAAGACTCTCAGCCACACAAAACAACAATGCCAACGTTAAATACTTCCAAGAATGTTGAGGCTTACTCCAAGATAAATTCTGGGCGTTCTGTGGTCCTAAAACATGATACAATGCTGTAGCATCAAGTCTAAATGAATCTCCTCCACAATATACTCTATTTCGCAGCAGAACAGTACAGTGAAGCAGATTTTCTTCCCTCACAACAGGCCGCAATGCAGGGAGGCTGTTCTGCGGGGTTCCTCTGTAAGTCTGTACATTCAAAAATCAGGAATAAAAATATTCTCATAACTCACTGGACTGGCTTTTCGGAAGGTCCTCAGCTCTGGAGATCTGGAAACAGCCTTGGAAGAATGACCTCTGGACACTGCTGTAGACTTGTGATTCTGCCAGAGATGTCCCATGAGTTCTTCTTGTGTTTCAAGCAACAAACCACACAAATGGCAGCTGATTCTTCTGTCAAAGGACCACCATGTGATTAACACTTGAGAAACTGGAATTTGCAACAACCAACAAATGACCAAATCAAATGGGCCCTAGCTTAAATATTATTTCCAATACAGTATTCAATGAGGAAAGTGATTACTCAATCAACAAAGTGTAATTCTAGAATACAGTGAGACCCCCAGATGTAGACATAATTGGTGCATCAAGAGTGTCCCAAAGTTAAATTGTCCCTAAGTCAAGCCTTGTTCTCCCATAGACTTACATGGTATAATCTTTAATTGGGGTTTTATGGAAGAAATATTCTCAACAATTCCATGAAAAAAATTTGTTTGCCTCTTGAATTTGGATCAGTGTATATCTTTTCAACCCAATAAGAAAATTTGGAGCATTGAAGCAGACCACTGTACAGTTCATTGAAATGTTGGCATTTGTAAAAATAACATTCAACTCACAAAGACAGAAGGATGTCCCTCTGTGCTATAGGTACTTTTTTAAAGTCAGCTGAATGGATGGGAAAAGTACAGTACCAATTTTTTTTGCATAGATCTTAGGGTTGGAAGTATCTGTTTCTTGCAATTAAGCCTCATAAAAGTCAATTTTCCTAAACTTTTTTGGCAATTTCATCATGCATTGTCCTCATGTCCAGTCAGTGTCGTTGGACCTTTTTATGATTTTTTTATTGAAAAATAAATGTCCATTAATAATCTTGCTTTGTTGGCCTCTTAGAATTTCCAATAGTTTTATCCTGGATGGAATGATAACGCAACACACAGTTGATCAAAAACGAAGTGGTTTTACATTAACATTCAGATCAGGATTTCACTCCAGGGATGCGATTCGTAAAGGCTCTAAAATTGGTAATTTGACTTTTTTTATGTTAACGCAATACAACTCCACAAAATGCATTGACTATTGATGAAAACGGGAGTTTTGCGGTACAATATTGCGTCCAGAACGGGCCAATTTATTGAGTTTTATTCTACACGATACGTCGTTATTCTTAACGACCCATTCACTCATCAACCGTTCTACTCTGACGGATTGCGGTCATTAAGCAAGGGCGGCCTAACTGCTGAAGTAATCAACAACACTCACTCAGCAGCTTCAACTTGATTTGATTCAGACGCAGAATTGTTGCCTGGAGATTTCATGCATACTCGAGAATGATCCAACTGTTCTTCTGTAGACCAACTCACATGTTGGCAATCGGGACACGTCAATATTGGAACCTTCTCTTCACTTTTAACATCGTCTTCTGTGTTATCCAACAGTCCTGAAAAGATGATACTCGAAAATGACATTGATAAGTTAAACCGGAATTGTCAGAACACATACTAATGTCATCCTCTTGGTCAGCTTCAGCAAGAGAACGATAATGAACTGCCCCGTGTCTTTGTGCTATTCTCTTATCTCGCGTAACGAACGTGCAAAACGCACAATTGTACTCTTTGACATCCATGAAACTTCCGAATCGTTTTCGATCTGAAGAGAATCTGAAAGAAACGTGATTATACACATCTGAGTCTACGACTGATCGTACATGCAACAGAATATTGTACATAGAATCTCGAATGCACAGATTTGTTCAAGTCAATCCATTTTGGAATAACCCTCGGTCAGTATTGGAACAACTTCGTCATAAAAAAGTAACAAAATGCGACAGGTTCAAACGACTTTCTGCGCTTTCAGATAAATGGCAACCTCAGTCGAAGCGGACTAACTGTTGACTATAAGTCAGTTCGACAAATAACCTTTACGCACTGAGTTCGGGGTTCATCAAAAACCAATAATGCAAAAAATACACCACTTGCAAAGGAGGAATTTGGAAATGCTCACCAGCTTTGGGATGAAATTCCAGAGTTCAAATACTTTTCTGGCGATGCGCTCCGTTAGAGAACAGAGACTACACCATACGAAATGCACTCCTCGATCATTTCAATCCTGCAGAAATGTGTCACTATCAGGATAATCCTCAGTCGGATTATCATTCACACGTTGCCAACAATGCCAAAATGTTCGATTCTCACCACTTAACTTTCCAAATTTTAAAGTCGCCCTCGGCTTTCCATAGAAGCATGTTTGAAAGTGTACTCCACTAAGATAATCGAATAAGAGCAAAGTGAACTACTAAATATAAATGACGAAAGTACTGGACCAAAAAGAAGGGCGAAAGAAAGGAAATGTAAGGGGAGAAAATCGGAACAATTCAGCCAACGAAATTTTTCAAAAACAAGGCACGCTGATTCAAGCGGGGAAAGCATGCATTTCCTCACTGCCACGGAAATTCCGCCGTACTTTTCCTTGAAACTTTTTTTCTTCCACCACCTGAATTTCTCAATCGAAATGAAAGCATAACATACAATGGAGGAAACGCGACCACACACTAGGCATTCTTTGCTCGTTGGGCTGAGCGTTTTCCAGTGACTGCCTGGTATCCCGACTTGATGCTCGCGACAGAACACCGCGATCCGCACGTTTCGCATTGCAAGAAGAACAACCGCGTATCCTTCTGCAGGATCGTATCAGGGGATCTACACGTGTGACAAGTGACGTATTCCTTGATGTAACGCCGAAGCACGTTCTCAATCTGTTTCTGCTGAAAGCGCCCTTTAATGATCAATTGGTTGCTACCATCGACAGATCCTTGCGTTCCCAATTCCGCCAGCAAAAACTGCAGGAACACAAATCATTATTCCAATCTCACTCAGCCCCGAGGGATGAAGGTGTACAAATGATAAAAACCTGAAGGACATGTTTCTGTTGCCGATGCAGCATTCGACAAATCTCGGTGAAATTCGCAAACGAGACTTTTTTCGTCCCCACACGTACAACCTGCGGAGGCTTCATGACGAACTTCTTCTTTTCTCCAGCAACCATGTCTGGGTTCTTTTCTCGCATGATATCGAACACACGGGCTAATAATTCTTCGTAGGTGTAGTCACGGTCAGTGTTGCCCCACGCGGAGGACTCCGTTGGGGTCCCAAGTTCATCTTCACCGAACTCTCCGCCGGTCATAAGTTCATCTATGTCTTTCTTTTTCTTCTTCATTTTCTTTTTCTTCAATTTGGTGAAATCCATGTCTAAGTCGAAATCGTCGTCTTTCGGTTCTGCATGTAAAAATTACCCAGCATTACACAGAACTTAAAGACAAATGAAAAGTCCGAAGCGTAAATGTGCCAACAGGAAAAAATACCTCGACACATAGAAGCTCGAAAAAAGTTAATGAAGTTTGTTCACACCACATTATTATAACCAAACAAGTTGGTAACTATTTTGAGTTCAATACCGTTGCTAATTTGAAGCTTTCGGCAGCATCAGCGTTACGTATCCGAGTTGGTCTCATACGGCACACGGCCGTTAATCAAGGCAAAAATTACCTCCACCTTCATCTCCACCAATGTCTCCAGGAACAGCATCTTCGTCTTTGGTAGCCTCAGGTAGAGCGTCTTCGAGAGCATCCAAATCGAACGTTTTCTTCTTCTTCTTCTTTTTCTTACCAAAAGACTCAAGATCGAGGTCCTCGAATTTTTCATCACCACCAATCGTCGACTCGTCGAATCTTAATACTTTCTCGACGACAGGCTTATCACCTTCGTCGTCGCCGTCATCTTCAATTTTCGACTCGGAGTCATTCAAAGCAGTATCTAAATCGAACGCCTTCTTCTTCTTCTTTTTCTTTTTTTGAGTAGGATCAAAAAGGGATTCCTCTTCCGTCATATTTTCAGTTCCTACGAAGCTTCGAAAACGATTTTCACAGTCTGCTCACGTTACAGATAAACGCAGTCGAGATTATCATGCAAGGCCTACAAAGAACGGGCACGATTTTGAAACAGATAAAGTTTCCCCTGAAAAGCACACGGAACTCCACTAAAGTCGGTAACAACATAATTCAGTCCCAACTTCGTCGGACGCGCTCGCCCATAATCAATCACACCAGTGGCTGATGCAATACTTCTCCGAGAAGGACCATGCGGGCTCTTGATCATGGCTGCCACACCGGCCTTCTCACACAAGAGGTATTGTTTATGTTTCACGAGACATTATGGACAGAAAATCCGATACAGTGGGACACATGGAGATTAACACACGAACGATAAAATTAATTCCATCTATGTGTCCTCAGTAAACAGTAATTCAATTCCGCATGCCTCTCAACTCAATTCAAGAGATTTATACTGTACTATGGGGGTGCATTGGCCTAGAGTTTCGCTGACCAAGAGTTCTGCTCCGGCGAGAAACTACACCACCACTACCAAAGCACTATGAATTCGCACTATGCGATCACACCTGTTTGCACATGCCGTCGTCCATGGAAGTTTGCACCGAAATTTTAAGCTTGTCAACTCACCGCTTAGTACCACGCCACCCGCTAGAGATCAATCTAAAATATCAAAACAAAAATTTATTTGAGTTACACCACCATTCCACTCCCCCCTTGAGCGTCATCAATGAGTGACGTTACTGTATAAATAAAGCCTGTTTTAAGTAGGAATTTCCTGTTTGAACTGGTGAAGAAAGACAAAATTAAAATTATTTCGGACCGAATTTCCAACATTAAATTTTGCAATTTTTTTTATAGCAGATTTTTATGCGCCGCGTTATTTGGCTAGAAGTCTTCGAAGAATTGATACCGCTAAGACATTGTACTGTAGTTGAAACCACTCAGTATACTGTATAACACTCGTGGCTCTAAGAGAGAGTGCAGCTGGCGCTTTTGGCGTGGAAGAGGTTGCCCTGAATAAAGTTGATTGTGAGCAGGTTGGGCCGCTAACGCTCTGGTGACCAAGGTAACTTGCGGTGAGGTCGTCCGTGGGTGTGATGAAGTCCCTGAAGTAGTGTATTGTATTTGATGACTGACGACAAGGATGAGCATTTTTTTATTTGACGAGATAGCTGTCTAGCCATCAATCGAAAGTCTCACTGTTTGTGTCTTAACAAACCCCATTTAGCAAAAAATGATTTTGTTCATTCTAGATGCATTGACTTTGAAATGAAGTCGCGCGAAGTTCAAACGAGGGGGAAAGGTTTCGCTCCGAAGCCTTTGACGAGGAAGGATCGTCGGAAACAAGAGCGGAAGGATAAAAAAGCCATGAAGCATGCTTTTTTGCTGAAACTCGTGGGAAAGATGCCTCAGAAGGACGAAAAAGTCGTGGAGAACCCATCGAAGCCGCCCTCTTCGGTAAGTCGGAAAATCATCTAATCATTCAGAGTGTTCCAGAACCTATTTGTTATAGAAAGCAAAGCAAAAGAAAACGGTAACGTTTTCTGACAACACCGAATCCGTGAAACGAACGAAAGCGGAAAAAACTGCCAAGGAGTACGAAGCAGTGCGAAGGAAAAATCTGCGTCGTGATAACAAGGAGGAAGACAAGGAAATCAAGCGCTTGGAGAAGAAACTGAAGCTAAATAAACGGAAAAAGAAATCATTGCCTCAGTCCTTCTTATCTGACGGGCTTGATTGTACGTTTGTTGATGTTTAGGCCCAAACATGTTCAACAAAAATTCATTTTCTTTTCCAGACTTGTTGGACATGTGCGATCCGGAAAAAGCAGCAAACATAAGCAGTTCTGCTGCATATGGTGATTCTGGCTCAGAGTTTGAAGAAGACTTCCGAGAATCAACGAAGAATCACCTGTCGGACGAGACTCTCCCAGATTCGGCACTTAAAAAAAAATCTCGGTTCGTCGAGCGTCAAAAGAAAGAAGAATTTGAGAATGTTGAAAAAACAGATAGCATGGTGCTGAGCTCCGATTCAGAAGCCTCGGATCTTGAAAGTGACGAAGAACCAGAGAAGTCATCAACTGTAAAAAATCGGCAGGCAGGTGGTAGCACTAGTTCTTGCGCGGAGTCCGACGACGAGGCTCCCATCCGGAAAAAATCAGAGAGCGATTTTGTGATGGATTACAACACTCCCCATGGTAGTGAATCGGACGAAAGTGACGATGAATCTGAAAATTGTGATGAAGCTGAGGCAGTTGATGCGAATGACTCCGAGAACGAAAATTCTGGGCAGTGGGAAGATATATACGGTCGTTCACGTGACAAGGAGGGTAACGTCGTCAATGCCGATGTGAGCTTTTACCTTCTGAATTGTAAACTGTGCTTGGAGGTGGAATTTGTGAGTTTCCAACTTCTGTCACGCAGACTACGGCGAAGTACGTACCTCCAGGGAAAAGGTCGGACGTTGGAGACGATTCGAAATCAGCTTCATTTCTTAGATTGAAGCGTCAATTGAACGGTTTGCTGAACAGATTATCAGAAGCCAACATGGTCTCAATCGAACGAGAAGTTAGTTGTTCATGAGTAAGCTGTGTTCTTTAATCAAAGCCACGAATTATTAAATTTTTTACTCCTTGTAGTGCGCAGCTCTGTTTGCGAGTCATAGCAGAAATGATATGTGTCGTGCGCTCAACACCTCGATGATGGATTCGCTTGTGACCAAAGTTCTCACTCCGGAAAAGCTTTTGATGGAACCTGCTATGCTCGTTGCGCTCCTCCACGTACACATTGGTTGCGAAGTCGGTGCAAATTTTGTGGAAATGCTTGTCAAGTGGTTCGACGAGCTTCACTCTTCCGATGAAGCTCTTATTGCCGAAGATCGTCGATTGGATAATATTATTTTTCTGCTGTGTCATTTGCAAAACTTCAAGGTACTTCGCATGTTTATTTTTGTTCTTCTTTGTTAAAGCTGCTCCCCTGCGCTGGTTCACCCGTTTTGCAGTCGACAATTTTTGTCATGAACGCTTTATTAGTTCATGTAGTGATGTAGGATTGATGAGGTCGAGAATAATGTTTCCAAGTAGGTTCCTGGTGTGTAACATCGTTTTTCGAATGTTTGACAAGTCTTATGATAATTTTTTTGGAAAAACGACTTGCTTGAAGCTGAATTTAGGTTTGTCAGGTGGATTCTCTGTGCAATAATGTCCCTAACGATTTGCTCTGCATAATTTTTATTCATTTTTTTATTGGGTTCACTTCCCATGTGGTAAGGGTTCTCTTGAACGAAATTCTCTCTTCAAACAAAAGATTTTATGGTCCCTCGAATTACTTTGTAAAGAGAGTTTTATTGTCTAGTTTGATCGGTTCAATTGAATGTTTTTTATCTTGATTTGGCGTGAGCTTTAGGTTGATAATTTTGCACCATTCATTCGTTTGAGCCTTTAAGGATATTAAATTAAGGGAAATAGAAGGGGAAACTTTAACGAGGAAGTGTGGTATATTTTCTCCAAATCCTCCTCGGTTTCATGCAATTGTCCTCGCACATTTAGGTACTTGATTCAACGTTGATGTATGATGTACTGAAGAGCCTGTGCCGAAAACTTTCGGAGAAGGACGTCGAGTTAATTCTGATAATCCTCCGAACCATTGGTTTCTCCCTGAGAAAGCAAGACGCGAATGCTATGAAAGAATTCATCGTTGAAGTGAAGGCGAAGGCTACCGAACAGGCTGAAAGTTATCAAGGGTGAGAATGATAATTGTTTGTGAGAATCCAATTTTCTGATCCATGTGTGTTCTGAACCTATAGAGCTAGGATCAAGTTCATGCTGGAAGCATTGTTGGCTGTGAAGAACAACAACGCATTGAAAATGCCTAATTATGACCCTGAGCCGGTTGCGACTATGCAGAAAACATTGAGGATGCTCATTCAGGGGAAGACGTTCGACGAGCTAAAAATTTCTCTGCGAGACTTACTCGATGGTAAATTATTTTGAAAAATACCACGAAACGTTAACTCATGCGATCGTTGGTTTTTTGGTGAAACTGTTCTGAAAGCAGTTCTCCGATACTGTCCATGGGGGTTTTCTTTCTTTTTTCGCTCGATCTGCTCGCGTAGTTGAATATTCAGTAGCTTCTTGAATATTTCTACATTAAATTTGTGTTTGAAAATGTTTCGCATTTGCAGCGGAGAAACGTGGGAAGTGGTGGGTGGTGGGTTCTGCGTGGACTGGGAAACTTCCAGGTGAAGATCCTTCCGGGAAGCCAGCGAAAAGTCAGCAGACATCGAAGCCTGCCCCGATTGCTAATGCTAGCAAGGAGATTTTGGAGCTCGCTAGGAAACAGAGAATGAACACTGAAGTGCGAAAAAACGTCTTCTGCATCATTATGACTTCTGACGTGAGTAATGCTTGCTGTTTGAAATTTTACGCCATGTGCGTTTACATTTGAAAAAAAAAAAAACGGATATTTTCTTAGGATTTTATGGATGCGTTCGAGAAACTCATAAAGTTGGGGCTCAACAAGCACCAGGATCGAGAACTCGTGGTTGTGTCAATCGATTGTTGCCTTCAGGAAAAAGTGTTCAATCCATTCTATGCCCATTTGGTGAATCGTTTGTGCGAATATGATAGACGTTTCCAAGTAAGGGAGAACGAATTCCTTGTACTTTTATGAGAGTAGTTGATGACTACGTGCCAATCATTTTTTGCAGCTGGCGACCCAATTTTCTTTCTGGGATCGAGTGAAAGCTTTAAAAGAATTGGAAGCCTGGCAACTGAGGAATTTAGCGAGGCTTTTTGCCTTCCTTTTCCTGAAACGTGGTCTGCCGATATCTGTGCTAAAGGTGAGGCATTGCTGTGATCTGAATCACTAGTCTTCGTGAACTTGTGCAGCTTCGCTCTTTCGGGGATCGTTAAGGTGAAATGTATTACTGTACAGGTATTTAATTATTGATAGGTACACCAACGATAGATCACGAGAAATAAGCTCTGAGGATTTGCGCTTGTCGCAATCGTCGAAAAAATTATTTGAACATCACTAGTTTTGGAGCACAGTCGAACTTTTTTACGTCAAACTTCAAGGGACGAGCAAAAAATTCGGATTTAGTGAGTTTTCCAGTCGGGAAAACAAGCGTTTTTTTCTTGGGAGGAAGAAAGAAAAATTACTTGAAATTTTAATGGGTGAAATTATGGGCTTAAAATTTTTTTTGATGAGCTGACAGGATGCTGAACTTGGAGGCAAGCATTCATTTGCCCAGTCTTTCACGTCTTTTCCAAACACTTCAACTCACATTTTTATTGATCTTCTCTTCCCTGCGCCAATAAAAAAAAGGCCAAAATGGCCTTCAGAAAATGCGAGTTGCATAGGTTTGAGGGCAAAAGCCTTCAAGTTAGGAAGATTTTTATTGCATTATTTTCAAGGGAATTCAGAGAGGGACTTGAAGAAATTAATATGACATAGAGAGGTTTGACTTCATTTGTCCTGTTGAGTTAAACATGCCAATTTCGTTGTGAAGTTCGCCTTTTTCATGGGTAAAGAGCCTTGTGTTATCGTTCCTATTGATTTAAAAGTCTCTCATGTCCGAAAGAATCCGTTCATTTTAGATTACGTCGTTTGAGTTCGTCTGTTCATCTGTGAAAACGTGCTATTGGTTTTTCGTTCGTAGGCGATACAATTCTCGGATCTGGACAAGAAAACACTGAGGCTTGTTCGCCAGATTCTGATGTCCGTGCTACTCACCGACACATTTGACCAGGACGCGGTTGTCGATGTGTTCTTGCGTATTTCGCAGTCCACTAAGCTGAATGAACTGAGAGAGAGTCTGAAGTTATTTATGCATCATTTTCTGCTAAAAAACAAGTCGAAGTTGTCGCCGGAACAGGCGGATTTATTAGAAGAACGAGTTGCCTTGGCCGACAAAGCGCTGGCTTCTGGTCAAAAGAAATTCTCGCTGTGAGCCGGATTTTTTTCATGGACTGCAACGTGGCTCTGTTGTCTGTTGGAACCGCGAAATGAAACATTTTGAATTGATGGGTTTCCATGAGTATGTTATCTTTTACTGTCGCAAAAGGCAATTTGGTCCGGTTTTCTTCGTACTGCATATTTACAAAAATCACAGACACTGGTTCCCCTCACGGCTTGGCTTCAAACCCGTGGTTTTCTAAACCGTTGGGCTGCTGGGTGTTGTTTTTGTTGCTTCGCTTTTGATGCGTGTTGCATGTGAACAGGGAGAAGAGCACGGGGAGGAGAATGAGTCCATGCAAAGTCCCGAACAGCATCACCAGCGTTGTGACTTTGAAGAATGTGAAGAATATGTAAGATGGCACGAAAATTATAGGTATGAGTCCAAGAACTGTCGATAAACACCCTTGGATGATGGGCAGTCCCATGTGGTGAAGGGCATCCTTGATTTTCTCTCTGCAAGGAAGGAGGTGAAAAAATTTCAAGTAAGTTATTCTTTCTTTTCAACCACCTCATTTGAGTGGATGGGGCATTTTTCGTACAGAAGAAAGTGGCAGACATTGGCTGAAGTGAAACATTATTTCTCTATGTACAGGGTGATGCGGTTTTTTGAAATACCTTTAGAGCAGGGCTTTTCAACCAGTGGTACGCGTACCCCAGGGGGTACGCGAGTGCTTGCCAAGGGGTACCCACCCACTGCCCACAAAAAAAAAGGTTGTCACCTCACTCAACCACAAATTCCCAAAGATCAACTCTTGATTTTTTAAAATTATTTCTATTCTCATAAAGTTGTAGCACTGGGAAATGTTATTATAGATTGCCTTTTGTCAAAAATTATGTGCATCGCACTTTTGGGTTTCTTTTTTACATTTACAAAATTGTGCCTGTTTTCTGTTCTGCAGATGAAAAGTTGAACAGTGTCCTTCTCTTATTCTGAAGAACTTCATTTGAAAACAGTTCTTCAATTTGAAGAAAGAGCAGACATGAATCATCAACATATTTCAGGGAATAATTCAAAAATTGAAGAGCACAGTGATGGATTAATAATTGAAATGTTGAGCTTTTACTCATTGTCCATTGCAGAGAAGATGTACAATTGCACTCCCCTTCTTTCAATCCAAGATTTTTTTCAAAAGAAAAGTTTCATGTTTTTCAGAAAAAATGGCACACTGTTGAACGTTTGATCTGTTTAGAAGAATGCAAGCACTGTTTTGCAGGTATACAAATTAATCCAAAAATAAATTACAATTAGTGTTGGAGTGAGGGGAATTTGAGCAAATAATACACATTTTCCTATACCAAATATAAAAAAATTAAATGAAAGGTGGGACTTTTTGCCTTTGGCAAGTTGTTGATGAGTGACTTGTTGCCCTCTGTAAGTTTTCAGGGAATCCAAAAATGGCTTGGATGATGGAAGTAAAATGCCATATACTGCAAATTTGGTTGTCCTGAACATTTCATAGGTTCCCCACAGTCCCCAATATGGCAGCAAAGGTTCCATCCATCCAAGGGAGAGTGGCATGCATACTTTTTCCCAACCCCCTCTCCCCTCTTAACCTTTCTGCAGCACAGTTGGACTTTTTTCAGATTCTGGGTGCACTCAAGAATGACATTTAAAAAAAACGTGACAGAGTGTGCAGGGCATAGTCAGGAAAAATCCTGGCATTTTTAAAATTCCCTACAGAAAAATTTCACTTGGAAATGAAAAAAATGGAATCCTCAAGGCACCCTTTTTTTCCCATGCCTTGTGTTGCTCCCCCATTTGAAGATTAAATTTCAGCTTGAAATCCAGGAGCCCAGCTTAGAGGTTGATATGGAAAAACTCTAACTTATGACTTTCCCAGGATTTCTTCAACTCCAGAAAAAATCCACATTTGCCCTTCCCACCGGGCAGGCGTTGCATAATCTTGTGCAAAAATGTTATGAAGGCCCAAGGGGAAAAAGTCCAACTTTGCCCTGGAATGGAAAGGAGGCTGCCACCACCAAAGGATTAAATTGGACATTTTGTGTATGAGTTGTGATCCCAAAGTATTTTTATGGGTAGAGCTGCGTATGCAGGCTCCCCCGGTATTTCTTATGTGTCTCTCTCTCTGTCTCGTTTCCTTTCTAAAAAGGGGCTTCCATAAACTGTGCGTCGTCACGAGTTCAGCAATGGAGGTCATGTCCTCCTGCTAGAATACGCGTGTGTGTATATTCTCTCTTTGGCCAGCAAAGCTGACCACCGCGGTTGCTTAACTCAGTGTGTCTCTCTATCCTCGCCAGCATTCGTGCCCGAGCACTCGCGACTGGCTGTTGTTGTGCGCTGTCAATAAAAGCTTATTGCCTCTCTACGAATCCTGGTTGCTATTTTATTTCGAACTAGCTAAAAATCCTTTAGCCCGCAAAGTACGCGGAAGACATCTAATTTAAAACCAGGAAGAAATTGTTATCTGAAACATCGAGG